AATCGTAGGAAAATAAAGCATGAATTTACAAATGCTATATTAGATAGATTACAAGTTAAATGTGATGGATTTTTGACAAAATGTGAAAACAATTTAATCTATTCAATGGATGATCTTTACTTAAGATATGATCAATTTTAATTGGCATTACAAAGAGAAAATTTAACTATTATAAAGACTCTATTAAATTTAGTAAAAATGTGTACATTACCTTAAAAGACTACTAATTTAGTGGCTTATATGATGAATGGAATGAATAAAATATCAAAATATTTTTATCAAAAAAGACTATGTATATTTTTAGATAATATTCTAATTAAAAGATATGCAAAAAAAATGAGACATTGGATTAAATGAATTATCAAAGATTTGTTGCAAATCATATTATGGATTGTGAGAAGATTTTATAACAATCAAAAGAAGTATATTTGACCTTATTAAGTCTAAAATTTATATTTGGAATAAATAAGATATTTTTTATTAAGTTCATATATAAATCGTATAAACATAAGTCGAGTATTAAAAAAATTAATATTATTAAAAAATTAAAAGAATGTGCAAACACAATAGAAGTCAAAAGATTTTTAAAAGCATGTATTTTTTTATATATATATAGATATTCCATTTTGCACATGTGATAAATATATTATATGAGTTATTAAGAAAGAATAAAAAAAATTAATGGAAAAAAAAAAAAAAAAACTATAGAAAAAACTATAGAAAAATTGAAAGAACTTCTTTATTTACTTTCAATTTTGAAAAAAAAAATACGAATGTAGAATATCAATGGTATTAATGGTTGATGCAAGTCCAATCAGAATAGGTTGGATAGTTGAATAAGATGATGAATAAGGGAATAGATATGGAGTAAGATTTGGAACAAAGGTTTTGAATATTAGACAAAAGACATATATACAAATAAAAAAAAAAATATATATATATATATATATATATATAGAATGAAGTAATAGCTATGAAAAATAAAAACCAATACTTGATTGATACATTGGTAGTTATAGAAACAAATTGTCTATCTTTATTAGATATGATTATAAATTATTCAACTCTTATTATTGTTATATTAAAATAGATAAAATATATTAAATCTTTAAATTTAGAATTTAAGCATATTACAAGAAAAAATAATTCAATTGCAGATATATTATCAAAAATAAGATATTATGATAAAAAAGATATGATTGATTTAGAAGATGATGTAGGTGCAAAATTTTAGACTAATGTATTATCAAAAAAAAATGTGTATGTTTGAATACACCATTGAAATTATTTTTAAGAGATTTATTTAAAGGTAAATGGAGAGATGTTAAAAAGTATCTAAGCATATTAAAGTAATAAGAGAGTTGGACAAATTAAGAATTTAAGAAAATCCATAAGAAATCCTATTAATATTTTCTACATGATGGATATTTATAGGAATATCCAACAAAGAAGAGAAAAGTACCACAAAGGATGATATGTGGTTTAAAAGCCTAATAAAATATTATCAAGGAATTCCATAAGAGTTTGTGAGTAGTACAAAGGAAAATTTGGACAACTTTTATTTAAGTAAAGGAGAAATATTGGTGGAAAGGCATATAGAAAGATGTGGCTGATTTTATAGGATCATGTGAGATTTGTCAACTTTATTCTAACATTTGGCATTGAAATGGATTACATCTTACTTATCATTTAATACTATGTTATAAGTAGATAGTAGATTTAGTGGCAATGTTTATGGGACTTGGAAAAATAGAGTATTTGATACTTGTATGTAAAGATTTATTGAATATGATTGATGGACAAGCATTAAAAACAAAAAGTAGTGAAACTATATATCAATTTTTTTTAAAAGACGTTGTTTGTTGCTATGGTTGTATTGAAAAAATCTCTATAGATAGAGGTGAATTGGATGCAAAAAAAGCAAGAAAATTCTTTGATAAGATAGGAATTAAATTTTCTTTGATAATAACATATAATCTAGAAGGTAATGGAAGAAGTAAATGTAGACATTTACTTATTGTTAAGACATTAGTAAAAGCATGCAATGGCAAAGTACATCACTAACCTAAGCTAATACCATTTGTATTATGAATAGATGCATAATTCATAGTATAATAACTAGTTATATGCCTTCTAAATTAATGTGTGGACAAAAGTTAGTTATGCCAGTAGAAGAAATAATACCTACGTAGAGAGTGTTGCTTTAGAAGGATGATTTTAATAGAAAAAAGCTATTAGTATTATGAATTCAATAATTGGAAAGAAGACCTAAGAATATTGAAGTAGCAATAGAAAGATTGAAAGAAGCATAAAAAAAGAATAAACAAAGATTTGATAAAATGCATCAACTAGAACCTAAAATAATTGAAAAGGGTAATTGAATCTTAGTCTATGATAATAGTTTGGATAACCAATATAGTACATTACAAAAAAATAATTAAGTATTGGTTTGAACTATATATTATAATAAAATTCATATTTTTTACATACTTGTTAATGATATATACTTGATAATGGTACATACTTGTTATAAAAACTTAATGAAACAAAATTGAAGCCACCTATAATAAATGAGTGAGTTAAGTTATTTAGACAAAAAAATTTATGTACATGTTTTGATGAAGATCAAAATCTATCAAGTGATATTGAAATATAAGTGGAGGAGCAAATTGGAGATCAAGAATTTGACTAAGTTAAAGACAATCCTACATCAATATTTTGAAGAGTCATTAATACATACTAAGAGATGCTTAAGTTTAAGGGAGGTAGACATTGTGTTATAACACGATCATTAGGTGAAAGAGGAAAAAAAATTATACTTTAAAGAGATTAAATAAAAATATTTTAGCAATTTTTTTAAAAAACATAAATAATAGACAAGGAGGTAGTAAAAATTAAAAAGTGTTAAAGCTGCCTTCTTATAAAAGAAGTTTCTACTTACTTTATAAGGCCATAAATAAAGCAAAATAAAATATACTAAGAAATTAAATCATATAGATATCTTTAGGAAGGAGTTAAAAATAGGTTTTAGTAAATATTATCCTAAAATATCAAGAATTGATATCCAAAGAAGACCAATTATGAACTTGGATTAAAATTAGATTCTAAGGTACAAAACCATGTACCTATAGTGATTCTAGGATTTTTTTGGTTAATTAGAGAGTGAAATTTGAAAGCAAATAAGAGAGAGGTTTTTTAAGAGTTAGTTTTATGTGATTTGGAATCATATTGAGTTTTTGAGGGCTTTTCAAAGTGAAAGATGTATTCATGGATTTTGGATTTTAAGAAAAAAAAAAAAATACAATTTTGAATATTGTATGAGTACTATAGCACATTTACAAGTAAAATTTTGTGATTTTTTCATTGTGGTTGTCTTCAATGTATTTGAAAAATTTGATATCAATCAAATAGTTAAATTGAAGGATATGAAAGTTTTATTAAATTAGGATCTTAGATTTTTGAAATTTAAGATCAGTGAGGGTTTTTATGATTCTAAAAAATCCACTAATTAGATTGAAGCTAAAATTAGTAAAAATTATTTAGACTTAGAAATCTACATACCAACCAATTTTTGAAGCAATTAAATAATTTAATAAGGAAAAATAATTGCTCAAAGTTCAACATCTAAATTGGAGAAGAAAGACTGCCAACATCTAAGAGGTTTAGGAGCTTTTTCATTTCATTGATAAGTTCAATTTTTCTCAAATTTTGTATGCTTGTTACTTGCTTGTAGATTAAAATGTGGGTGAAATTTGAGTTGAGATAAATGGTTTGATTAGTATTTATTGAGATTTTAAAACAACTGTAAGGATTGGTTGGGATTTACTTTGAGTTTTCTTGAATTTGTTTAGGATTTTGCTAGGATTGGTTTAGGATTTCATTAAGATTTTATTAGAGTTGGTTTACGGTTTTATTAGAATTTGATTAGGATTGATTTAGGATTTCATTTAGATTTGATTAAGATTGGTTTAGGATTTAACTAGGGATGGTTTTGGATTACATTAGGGTTTAATAAGGCTTCATTTAAGGTTTCTATTTTTAATATTTGTTAAATATTTCTTTAAGATTTTTTTTCTACTTCTTTATGATTTCTTATATATATATATATATATATATATATATATATATAAGATTATTTTATAATTTTTTTTATGTTTCTTTTATAAGTTCTTTAAGACTTCTTTTAGAGTTGATTAGAGATGGATTAGCATTGTTATAATTTAATTAGAGTTTGTTTAGGATTCTATTAGAATTGTTAGAACTTTCTTGTTGCAAATTCTATTTTACCTTCTACATCCAAGCACACCTCATGGTATATGAAAATGTAGTAATAGAAAAAATCATTTTACAAAAAAAAAAAAAAAAAAAAAAAAAACGAATCTCACTTAAAATCACAAGGTATCCTTGAAAGCTGAGCTCTACAAGACATAATTAAAATTTTATTATCAAATTTAACCCCGCACACATACTCAATTAAAAAAAGAGATGTAGCAAACAATGGAAAATAAAAATATAAACAGTACGCACCAGTTTGAGCATAGCAGAGGCATGAACACCAAACCCGCCACAATTCCCATGACTCTTAATATCTCTGCACACCATTGCTGAGCCATCTTGCACCTGTGGGTCACTTCCACCTCATCTACATAACCAAAAACTACTGAAAACACTCATAATGAAGCTATTTCGACACCAACGTTGTAAGAAATTGTTATCGACATTGCGATGAGCAAATGTTGCCACAAATCAGAGGGAGACATACATAACCTCGCGAATAATTCAGCAATAAAACAAACCAAACGGAAACTCATTATCTTCCAGCGAGAAACTTGTCGTCGCCAGTTCTCAACGAACTATTCACCGATTGTTTCAATCGTTCATTTCTCGTCCATGTTCCCCTATTCATCGTGTTCCTTTTGTCGGAACTGCACACTGTTCGCCATCTGGAATTTGTGTTCATATGGAGAGATTCTTTCCCAGCCAGAAAGTGATACGAAGTCTATTCGACAATTATACGTGGAATGGTCATGCTTTGATCCAAACCCTAAATCTAGATTAAGTTGTTGTTGCCACTTTGTTCTGCTTCATTCCGAAGTGTGCATGCGTCGATGGGTGCTTTACGATCGCGCATTGCAAGCATATCTCAATAAGTTTTTCTAACTGTAGAATACCAATGGTCTGTTGGAATTTAAGGTCCGTTGATTTATAGCATCACTATTTTTTTGAGGATGAGAATCTAAACTGCTTTAGAATCAGTGTTGGTACCGGATATGAGAATTCGCGGAGGTGAGTCTTCATCAATATTACCAGCTCTTCTCCTGCTTGTCGTCAGCTACTTGCGTTGGTTTAGAGCTGCTCAATTGAACCAAGTGCGTTGAGGGATAGGCTTTTCAGCTTGGCTGAGAAAAGAATAATTGGTGGATTGAGGTTTAGTCAGGGTTTTGTCGTGGTGAGAATGGATTGGCGATCTCGTAGGATGAGTCCACAGTGGAATAAGCATATGGCCGAGACGTTCTAGAAGAGATTTTGCGAATGTTTGAAAGGGACTGATGCTGCCGAAGGAGGTGATATCTGTCTGCGATGGCACACATACTGCGACTCCTGTGCCGTGGCTACTTTGTTCAGCGACATCACTTAGTGTCAGCTTCCTCCCGGCGTTTTGCGCACACTTTGGCTGAGTCCTGCGTCCCTGCTGCAGGTTTTTCCCCAAAACTTCTCACATTGTTCTGTCTCACAGGGTTGTTCTACGTTGCACTAAGTTGAATACTTATGTGATAAAGTTGCTTATGTCAGCAACAGGTGCCTTCAAATTTCACGTATTTAATTGAGATTGAGCCCAAAGTGGCGCAAAGAAAATAATGCACTCAAGTAGCTTGTTACGTAAATAAGTACGTGAATGCTATTGCAGGAGGACTTAAATGTGACTTGCAATTTGATTCCGTGACTAAGGTGAAATGTTGTCATCCAATTAAATTTAAAATAAAAGATATTCATCTTCGCCCAAAATAACTATGATTTTATGACATGCCTATTGAATGGGGTCTTGCATGTAATTCTTGTGTGGTACAATGAATTTGATGGTGCGATGTGACAATGTGATGGCTTAGGATTCGCGAGTGTTTTTTGTAGATTTTCTCTTTTGATTCCCAGCACCTGAGATCTTTGGTTTTATCAATTTTAAATTTCTTAAGAGCTTGCGCTAAGCATCATAGGTCTCTATGAATACTTGGTCAGATTGTCGAACGCTTGTAAAGACTTGAAAGTGTTTTTTCTCCACTTCAGAAATCAGCTCATCTCACAATGACCTTCGTCTCAAATTTTGCAGAATCAGATAGTTCAAATGAATTTGTTTCAACAATTTCGTCCTTAGATGCGCAGTTTGCTGAAGAATTTGACAATAACAATGTCCATGCTGCATCCATCAGCAGTTCAAAGGATTGGTCTAGAGACTATCAACTTGATAAAGTCATGACAAGACACCTTGATAGTGCTGTATTGGGTGTGAGACGCCTCTTCGATCTCGTTAAGCAAAATAAGCTTGAAGAGATGTTAGTAGTGCACGATGAATTAGCGGAGAAGGAGAAAGAGACGCTGCATACATCAATGGATGTTGTTATGTATTCTCGTTTAATGACACGTATTCGGGAGTTACGGCCTCATTATGTCCTCCCGGTTTTCCAACGCATGCTGTCTATAGGGGTAGTTCCAAACGTGGTCCCGTACACGATTTTGGTACAGGCTTTCATGGAGATAGTGGCAAGGGTGAGATTCTGCATTTCTGCCGTTGTTTCTTCCGCGCTGCTGTTTCTCTTGGTTTTAATTGGGTGCTGTTTAATTTCTGATTTAAGTAGAAGTTGACGGAAACAGAATACTGAAGATGCGTTAAGATCTCGTGTGTTGACTACATTTTACGGGTCTGAGAATTCAGGAAGCAGAGATCTCACTGTCTGTTTTTATACTGTGCCTAAATGGCTGCAGGAGGATGGGAAAGGTACTAAAGTAGTTTCAGCTACTCAGGAGCTGTACGTGACAAGGGCTTTTGAGTTAATAAAGGAGATGCGAGGCAAGGATATACTTCCCAACAAGTTAACCTATAAGCCCATAATGTCATGGCTTGCTGCTAAGGGAAATGTAGGTCAGTTTCAAGAACTGCGGAAGTTGATGGAAGACGATGGAGTGCCTTTTGATGGAGTATTTAAATACTATGAAATCCAACTTTTTCTGCAGTCACGTGATTTTGAAAGAGCAAAGTCTCTTTACCTTGCTGCTAAGAAGTTGGATCAGAAGCTGCCTTCGTCATTAGATTGTGAGTACTTTCGATGATACTCCATTCAAAAGAGCTGTTCCCAAGATGCATCAACCTTTTTTAATCTCAGGGGAAAACTAAGACTCCTCACATTTTGATAATCAAGAAGCTACTTTTTGGAAATCATAAGAAAATTCTGCAGACTTTTCAGAATTTTTTGTCTGAGAATAACAGTAATTTGCATCATACAATTTATGGATAGAAGAGGCTTTTAATGTCATGACGCCTCTTTTACCAATGATTTGATTTTTTTTCTTCTATATTCTCTTGTACAGTAAAGGTACTTTGTTTTTTTTTTTATTTGTTAGGAGAAGGGCAATTCATCACAAAAGTTATTGTTTTTATAAATGTATTATTCTTGATTTTCTTTCGAGAGATAGGGAAACTGATGGGGCACGCATGATTCAATGGCATGGGAAATATGGTAGCTCGGTTCCTGACGGCATTGGCAAAGGAGGATAACATATCTGTTGTGGTGGACTTGCTCCCGAAAGTTATACCCACCATAAAGTCGAGTGCTAGTGTGGTTACTGCAATGCAGTGTCTCGGCAGACATTTTCAGCGCGATGCTGCTCTGCAAGCCTTCTCTTTGTTGAAAACTAAAGGTACTATGTTGAAGGCAGCATTTCCTTAAAGCGTGAAGTTATCACATCCGTCCGGTCCGGACGATATGCATCCTTATTTTATTACAACTACTTACCAACATTATCTTGAAATGCGGATTGGTATTATAGGTACCAGTGATCAACAAATGACCTTTTACTTGAACGCCTACATCCAAGGATTTAGTCAAGCCGGCAAGGTATAAGCCAAACAACTCATCAAGAGCGCATATCTGCTCTTCTGCACATCTTGATGTTTGCTGATTTCATCAACCATGTAGTAGAGTTGACAAAATCATTTCACAACTGAAGTTTTGGTGATAATGTTCATTTTTCTAAGTAAACAAATGCAGTTTAAGGTTGCCTACGGTGATTGTTTCTTGCGACACTTAATTTGGAATAAAAAATCACACTTCTGTTTGTACTCTTTCCAGCTGGCTGATGCCATAAATGCTTTTAGAGAGCTGGAGATTGTATCTCAGGTCAAGGGAGGACAACATCTGTTCAATATCCTCATAGACTTCTGCTGCAAACAAGGCAAGGTGAGAAGCCCAGCGTTATTCTTTTACAACTATGACCGTTGGTCTAGGAAATTGTAAGATTGGTCTTGTGGGCGTTGTGCTGCTTGTGCTTTCAAGTGGGAGTCTAGACTTCTTTCCTTCTTTCTTTTCTTTCTTTTTTCTGTGTTTTTTAATATATATTTTGATCAAATATTTGGTCAGGTGAGTACCGGAAGATATTGTTGAAGCGTATCCTTCATCCTTGAGAAAGTGTGTTTGAGATTTTTGTTCTGTAAACGCTTTGATTTTACTGTGCTACCAGATTTCTCAAGGCCTTGATTTCTTGGACGAGATGCAAGTAAGAAACTTGGAGCTTTCTTCGTTCTCCTTCAATCCATTTATTCGAGAATTTGGGCGGTGGACAATGATTGATGAGGTAGGTTTACGCTTATGGTGCAATAATTGAGAATATTATATGCTTGGCAGTTTATGTTGATGTGAAAGACACAAGTAGTATGTATGAAAAATAAAGCAAAACTTGGGTTCATGTTGCTGGAAGGTAGGCATTTGAAATGAAAGCGGCAATGCTTCGGCTGGGAGTACAGCCGACTGTTGTGACATACAACTCACTTATAAGTGCTTGTGTCAAGATTGGTGATGTAAGTATAATTCTTCCCAGTCCTGGACATGCTAGATTTCCTGTGTAATTTGAAGACACACACTGAGTTTTGTGAAAAATCAGCTGGTAATGATTGTTCATTCCGTATTGAGCAATATTCCGATTTCTGAGTTTCATCAAAGAAGTCAATGAGATTTACTTGGACAACCTGGAATCGAATCAGTTGGAGAGGGCGTGTAGCTTATTTCCCGAAATGAAGGAGCTTGGTGTGGAGGCCAATACTCACTGCTACAACCCTCTTATTCAAGGCTTTGCTATGCAGGTTATTCACTTACTGATCGGTACACTTTTGTAGTAAGGTTTGAGATCACTTGCAGTGTGCGAGGTAACTAGTGTTCTATCTCGTTTTGTATAGATTTCTTTTCTTCTATCTTAGCTGAAAGTTCAGATGGGAATTTTCTTGTGCTGACATTGTGAAAGCAGGGACGATTTGATCGAGCCCTAGCAGTTATGAGGAGTATGGATGCAGCTGGTGTGAAGCCAGATGTGAACACTTACCGCCTTCTCATATTTGCCTGTTCTCTGAGCAAAGACCAGGACAAGGCAGATCAGGTGACCAGTCAATTGCCTGTGGTATTTTTTTGTGTTGAGCATTTTTCGAAGTAGACCTGTGCACTTCTTACCGACAAAGCGATCCCTTGAGTTCAGCTATCCAGTTTTTCTGTTTAATCATGAGATATCAGGTGGTCACGTAATATACCAGCGGAGACACTTTGATATGATCGTTTTTTCGTATTCTGAAGCCCTTAAAGCTGTAGTGTGGATCTGTAGCTTTTTGCAGAAATGCAAGAGCGTGAAATAAGGCCAGATGAGTCCATATACACTGTGATGATTATTGTATACTCGAAATGTGGCAATGTTGATCGTGGTATCGAGGTAAGCGCATCTCTTTCCCACTTACAGAAGAACTTCTGCTACTCTTCTGCTATGGAGTATTATCTACTTGAACTTTTGAATGAACGATTGATAAATATTTCCTTCATCCAAGTGGCTTGGTTGTGGCGCGGTCACCAACTTATGACGAGTCTTACTCGTACATCAGTTGTATCTCAGTTGATTAGGCTCATAGCACTTTCATGATTGCACGAAAATGAAAGCACCAAAACTCTTTTAACTAAGCAAATCATTCAATAAATAAATGAATAAAACTGAATAATGTCTTTATGTTCAGATGATTAGGAGCCTCGAAAAAAGCGGCGAAACAGCAGGAATTGAGGCCAAGAGTGCCATTTTACATGGGCTTGCTGTTACTGGTCGCCTGGAGGAAGCCTTAGCGTTATATGCAGTTTTCAAAAGGGAACGCCTACTACCACATTCATATGCTGTTGGCACTCTTTTGGTACGTGATTTCCTCTGCTCTCAATGCCTGGATGATCCATATTCCTCATATGGATTTGTCTGTTATTGTCTGTTATCATCAGTCTGATATTGTCTGTTATCATCAGTCTGATATTGTCTGTTGTTGTTTGACTTCGTTGCAGCACTTACTGTTGCAGGATACAAGATATCTTTTTCATTTGGCTCTTGAATTGTATGACTGTATGCAGGCAGCGCTTGGTAAAGTGGGTGATCTGGACAAGATGTTTGAGTTATTTGAGGATGCTCGAGGAGATGGCAAGTGGCCTTTTATGAATTTAAGGCAACGTGCAGAACATCTCAACATTCGGTGCATAAATTCGGTTCTTGCATGTATCCGTCACAACCAACTTGGGTATGCTTTGAGTTTTTTGCAATCTCGTCTCAATTTGTGCTTTATAAGATAACTTTATTGCTTTCCTCTGCATGTTGATTATGCTAACAAATTTATCTCCGATAGTACAATAAGTCCAGATAGCCTTCTCTATGTCTCTAACGAATGAGATGTACCTTCATATTCTAGTGACTCTGCTGTGATCTTACAAGAGGGGCTTGAAAATATATAGATATGTGTTTATATATATATATATATATATATATATATATATGTGTGTCTATACACGAAGATGAGATGTAAGGATCTGGTCAACTTGATATATATTTTATTGTCTTTGCTTAAGCTGAGTTTAATTGATGTTTCCTTTTTAAAAGCGTCTCATCTAAGTGGTCTAATTACTGATAACTTAAGAGAACTACAGGCGTGCGATCAGTTTTCTACGAAAGGTGAAGGAAGAGGGCATCGCCGACGAAGGTGTTTTATTCGACAAGGTCGAGACATTATCCATTGCAAGAGTGTAGTTTCAGCTGGTCTTTGGTCTTTGACATGCAGTTTTTGCTTAACAGATATTGAGCTTGTTTGTTTGTTTTATTTTATGCGCAGATTTTTTTGCATATTTCTACCGGAGGGCAAGATGAAAACGAAATGCGCTGGTTAGACGTAAACGATGGTTTTCTAGTGATAAATGCAATGCGAGAGTTGGGATTGCGACCATCTCGAATGTCTTTGGAAGCTCTCCTGGATGGATGTGCTGCCCTGAATGACTCTCAGCAAGCTCATCGAGTGCTTCAAGAGATGGAGCGAGAGGGTCTGCAATTAAATATTTTCTCTATGATCAGGTATCGTATTACTTTAACAGCCTTCTAATATGATTAGACTATATGCTAGGGCTCACACTACATAAAAGCAATCTGGGATAGCATTGTACACTTCATCATTATTGTTTCGTTAATGGTCTTGGAATCTCTTTATCAGGAGTTGTAGTTCCTCCTTACTTTTATCATCCATTAGTTATCGTGCGGATTAGCAGCTGTGTTTCACTTAAATGATGCAGTCTGGTTAGTAATCAGAACAATGAGTTCTTACGAATCTCATCTAGATGTGAAAATTGCTCTTGTCCACAATCCCTCTGAAAGGGTTTGAAGGAAAACATCCACTTCCGTCATCTTCCAACTCTTTTGCATCTGAACGGTATGAATCGACAAGTAATTCGTACATTTTTTCATGAGTTTAACTTTGGAATAAGTGTTTTACTTAGCAAATTGGTCGATTGTTATGCAGGGTGTTCCGTGCATATGTAGCAGGAGAAGATGAAGAGAAAGCATTGGATCTGTTGAACCAAATGCCAGAAGAAGATTTGAAAGACAGTGACGTAAGATTACTGCTTGTTCAGATACTTCAACCACATTATGTGGCAGCTGCAGATTCACCGATTGCTGCAGAAGCACTAGAAACGTTGCCAAGGGTCCGGGAAAAAGTAGACGAATTGCTGGGAGGGAACATGATACCAGATACGGACATAGTTTTATGAGACATCTCTGATGGTAATCGAACACTGTAAGGAGCACCATGGAGCTGCCAATAATATAGGATTTTCACAATCTCAACCACAATACTATTCTTTAGAATAAGGATCACTAATCAAAAGTTTGTGAAATAATTTATTGGTGTTTTAATGCAACCATTTTGAAGCTAAGACAAAAATCTAAGTAAAAATTAGGGTTATTTTTAATTCATTAGGGATTAGAGAGCTTAAAGAGATAATATGTTTGTTAATAATGGAGTGATTTTATTATAGTTTGGACTAGATTAAATCAATTAAAGACTAGCAAGGAATTTTTTATGGATAGGCAAGCAATCTAATATTATCATAGATATACATATATATCTAAATTAGAAGTATTAGGTACAATGTAAATGTAAATAGATTTAATATTATCTTATGGCAAAGCTTCTTAGAAGCTTCATAGACATATATTTGACTTTATACATGTTTGTAGTTGATTGGTAGGTTAGAAATTTGATCAACAAGTTAGCCATGTATTGCATGTATTAGTAACTTATGGGAGAAGCTAACCATGTGGCATACATATAAGAAACTTGATTTATAAATTAGATACATGTCTTATAAGTTGGACACATATTAGAGGTTTTATAGAACATAGCCACATAGCTCCTAGTTAGATAGTATATATGGAAGCAAGAGCAAAGCCTTCTTCACTCTTATCAACATTTTTTTTTTTTTTTTTTTTTTTTTTTTTTTTTGTTCTTAGTGTTATTTTAAAACATTCTAGTTTTTTTACCTTTAGCAATAGTCATTTTAATTCAATATTACATCATCTTTGAGTGATTATCTAGTCATTTGAATGATAAAAGAATGTCTTGATTTTTTTATTTTGTAAGATTCATGTTTTTGATAGTTTGATAAGAGTGCTAATTCATTATTCTTATTTTATTTTAGAAGGAAGTAGATTATTTAATTTCTATTGTTCTAGACTATCAACCTTTAAACTAACTTTTTAATTTCTAATAATAATTTTTTCCTTAAAAAAAGTGGACTATCTCTCTCTGTAGAAATTTCCATTTGATATTAGAAGTTATAGATTATCTTCTTATTTGACTTATAGATTTCTTTAAGTTGTCTATAAAAGGAAAAATTATGGATGCTACTCTCAAAAGAAGTGAGAATAGATTTGCAACTATTAAAGATCTTCACAAACTTATCAATACTCTTAGGATGGAAATTTCACATATTTTTAATATCAATGATGGATGTAGTATTTTGACACATATGAAAAAAGTCAATAATAAAGTTTAAAATTTATGCAAAAAAATTATGTAATTGAGAGAAGAAAATAGATCAAATTCACAACTAAATTTAAGAAGTCTTGTTGCTACAAGTTTGAAAGAAGCAAGGATATATATGCTACAGAAGTTTGATGGAATTGGAGCAAAGTTCCAAGGATTTTTATAACAAATAAATCTCTATCTAAGGTTGTATCCTTTTCAATATGTTGATGGATTTATTCAAGTTGGATTTATAATTGTACTTTTTATTTGAAAGATGCAAAGAATAAAGATTTAATTGAAGAAGTAGAAGTCAAGTCATAGTAATAGCTTTTAAGTTTTTAGAAGCTTATTCATTGAGACGAGAACCTATGTAAATTGACATAGTAGGTTTCAAACATCTTATTGAGCAAGAAAAGTTTTAAGCCACCAAAAATGATTCTGCTTATATTGTAGAAAACTTAAGGACAATATTATCCAAAGAAGCAAGCTAATTATAAAGTAAGAAGCATGGTTGAAAAAAAAAATGATGTGTCAAAAAACAAGTTTTTTTAACTACAATAGGAATCATGCAACTCAAATTTCATACAATACCTTATAAAGGTCATATTCTCTTCTCAAATCCCTCATCTTGCTTTATAGTAGAAGTTTGTTTATGACCAAAAAATTAAAAAATCTTTGCTTTGTTAGATTTAGGAATCTCAAACTATTTTTTAAACAAAGACTTTGTCAAAATACAAGAAATATCTCTAATGAAGAATATCAAATTTGTGCATATAAAAGTAATAGATGATTATTTTTTATCTTTTAGAAATATTATCTATGAAATTTTTCTTTTCGGTGTAGCAACTAATGATCATAATAGTTTAATAGTATTTAATATGATTAATAATTAAAAATAAATACATAGACAAAAACTTGGCTAATAATATGACATGCTATTTTAAATCTCTAATAAGAGCTCTTATCTTATTTGTGAAGTAGAAAGACGGATCATTGTAGATGTGTGTAGACTATAAAGGACTCAACAAGATCACCATCAACAATAAATACCTTTTCCCTTTGATTTCAAATTTTTTAGATCAACTCAATTAAGCAAAGATATATAAAGAAATAAATCTACAAAGAGTATAGAATTTAGTCTATATTAAAAAAAAGCTGAATTGATGATTGTATTTTGAATAAGATTTGGATATTTTGAATATACTATCATATCTTTTGGACTCACAAATATACTAGCTGCTTTTTAATATCTAATAAATAATATTTTTTAAGAATTTTTTGATAATTTTGTTGTTTATTATCTATATAACATTCTAATCTATTCTAAAAACATAAAAGAGTATGAACTTTATGTTCATTGTGTGTTACAAAAATTTAAAGATGCAACATTATATGCAAAGATAAAAAAGTGTATATTTCAAACTACTCAAGTTTTCTTAAGATACATCATTTCAAATGATGGCTTCACAATAAATCCTAAGAAGATTCAAACTATCATGGATTGTAAGATTTTAAGAACAATAAGAAATATCCAATGTTTCTTGAGATTTATCAATTACTATTGGATCTTTATTATGAAATTTTTTCAAGTTGCGGCTCTTCTTATATATTTAACATATAAAAATACTCTTGAATAGAATAAAAAAGTTGAAGCATCTTTTTAAGCTTTGAAGATAATTTTTATTTTTATACCAAACTTCTATTCTATCAATTTTTTTAAGATTTTTTTTCATAAAACACATGCATCAAACTTTGCTTTAAAAGTAGTATAATTATAAATAGAAAAAATTAAAAAAATCCATCTAATAGCTTTCTATTTTATAAAGTTTTCAACAACTAAGATTAACTATGAGATACACAACAAAGAGCTTCTTATAATAATGGATTCATTTCAAGAATGGCGTCATTATCTAAAAGGCACTTTTAATCAAGTCACCATATATAAAAATCACAAAAAACTTGAGTATTTCATATTGAGATGTTATATAGTAACATAGCCATTAGGTGGAAAAAAAAAATTATAGAAGAGCCTAATTAAAAAGATGTAGTAAAATATATATATATATATATATATATATATATATATATATATATGTATATATATATATATATATATAAAAGATCCTAATTAAAAAGATATAGTAAAAAAGAAATATATTTTATTATAGAAGAGCCTAATTAAAAAGATATAGTAAAAAATATAGATAAAAGATAGGCAAGTAGTAAAATCTTATAGTATTAAAATTGATTTTTATGATAATAGATTCTACTTACTTTGTGTAGCCATAAATAAGACAAAATAAGATAGATTAGAAAAATAAAAAATATAAGCATATATAGAAAGGAGTTAGGAATTTATTTTTACAAAAATTACCTTAAGCAAAACAAAATTGATATCTAGAGAGGACTAATTGCCAACTAGAATCAAAATCAGATCCTAAGGCAAAAAACTAGACATCTATGATGAGTTTGGAGTTTTTTTGTCAATTAAAGAATAAGATTTGAAATAAAACTTGAAAAGCGATTCTTGAAAGTTTATTTCATGCCATTTGAATTAATATTGAAATTTTTAGAGATTTTCAAAGTTAATAATGTGATTGGTGGATTTAGATTTTGAGAAATTAAAATAAGTTTATAAATTTGAGGATTTTGTAAGATTTGTAGTATATTTATAAGTGAAATTTTGGCATTTTTTTTTTTTTTTTTTGTGATTTTTGTAAATGTGTGTAAGAAATTTGAAATCAATCAAGTAGTTACATTGAAGAATACAAAAATTTTGTGAATTATGAACTTGAAAATAGGAGTTTAAAAGACCAATGAGGATTTCTAAGATATCTGGCAATCCACTAATTGGATTGTAATATAATTTTGTTCAAAGATAGTTAGCTTGACTTTTTACAATAATATTAGGTTTGGAACTAATTAAATAGTGAAATTGAGAGATTATAATTCAATAATATTAATATCAAGGTTAAAAAAGGATGTTAGTTGATACTCCAGCAAAATTTAGGAATTATCATCTATTTGATATGTATGATCTTCTTCAAATTGTTTGTACTTATTACTAACTTAATTGTTCCAAATTTTGCAAATTTTGAGTTAAAATCAAAAACTCAATCATTAATTATTAAATTATTAATTTGCTATAGGATTTTTTTAAAATTTATTTAATATTTAGGATTTGATTAAAGATTAATTAGGATTGATTATGGATCTAAGTTTTCATTCAGATTTACTTAAAATTTGATTTAAGATTTAATTAAGATTTAAGATTTATTTAAGATTTGATTAGGATTAGTTGAAAATTTGATAAAGATTTTATTAGGATTTAGAATTTTATTAAGGATTAATAAGGATTTGTTTAAAATTTGATTAAGATCTTATAAGGATTTAGGATTTTATAAGGATTTGATTTTAGATTAGGATTTAGATTTTGATTAGAATTTTTTTATAATTTGATTAAGATTTAATTAAGATTTAAGATTTTATTAGGATTTATTTAGAATTTAATTAGAATTTGATTAATTTTTAGGATTTGATTAAGATTTTATTAGGATTTAAAAAAGATTTCATTAGAATTTTATTAAGATTTTATTTAAGATTTGATTTAAGATTTGGTTAGAATTGGTTTAGCATTTCATTAAGATTTGTTGAGAATTATATTAAAATTTAATTAGGATTCAATTAAAATTCTTGTTTTTGATATTTTTTAAAAATCATAAATTAATATTTCTTTATTATATATATTTCATTAAGATTAATTTATGATTTTTTATATTTCTTATGTAAATTCTAAAGACTTTTTTTGGATTTAATTAAAGATTGATTAGCATTTTTATAATTTAATTGAAGTTTGTATAGAATTCTACTAGAATTGTTAAGATAATCTTGTTGCAACTTCTTTTTTTTCTTCCACAACTAGGTATATAATGAATTTTCAAGCAAA